TATTTAAGAATTGCCAAAGTAATGTGACAAATATATGAAAATTTCGGGTTCCGAACAGTGCAAATTTAAAGATGATAATATTTTATCTCTTGCATTCCATGAAAGAGCTATTTCGATCATGAATGCAAACAGCGGTGTAAAAAAAAATTGAGGGTTTCCACTAATTTAAAATGAAGCGAGTGAACGACGGTATTTACACCTTGACTATCATCAAGTTGAATATCGTGTTCACATGCTACTTGAAGAACGCAAAGATTGGGACATAATACGAAACCTTTACAGAGAAAAAACAAGTGTAAAAATTGCTTGCACCCCAAAAAAATATTGTATAATAAATAAAAGTATTAATAAATTCTCGCCACACACGCTAAAGCCCAAACAGACGCCACAAAATAAAAATAAATGACCTCATTTGCGAGACGCTTCGAAATCGAAACATTCATCTTTGCGCCGATTTTTATTTTCTGAATCAGAAGACATTACGACGCTTAAAGCTGCCTCTACACGGGCCGATTTCTGTCGACTTACATTTTACGGTTGAATTGCCATTTATAATGGTCCGTTTGGTTGAAAACGACAAAAATCGACTAGAAAATCGACCCGTGTAAAAGCAACTTAACACGCCCTGTGAATCCCTTAATTATATTTATGCACATTGAAATGTCTTCGGCCCAATCATAGAATGGCTTTCTGTTGATTTTTTTTTTGTAATAAATTAATGTATTAAAATGCTCAAAAGGTTTTTTTTTTTGGAAAGTGGCCTTTTCACCTCCTTTTTATAGAAAATAAACGAATGTTGTGTCCTCCTGAGGTAAAGACGTTTTAAAAGTTCACTTTTACAGTAGAATGTGGGACATAGGGGTTTGGGGATATCCTTGTCCACATAGCTTGTTCCACACAACACACTGTGTGTCGGTAGGTAGTTGCTCTCACTGGGCTCAATTTTTTCAGCATCAACATGTACATATATTCCGTCGGAGCCAATAGCTATGTAGGTTTTTGTCTTCCCAAGGGCCACCTTAACTTCGACGCTGGTGAAAACGAGAGGCGCATTGGGTTTTGTCAGTTTGTGCTGTGATCGTCGAATAAACTTTCTACTTAAAAGTTAACGAATCTCAAAATCTAGGTCTCGGATACGGGGATCCCCGAGGCCGCCCTGGCGAACGTGGCGATGCTCGTTCGATAGTACAGCCACTTAAACTGGCTAATTGGGATGGATTTCCGCTAAATATCCAGCAGAGACACGAGTTGGTCCGCTACAGCATGACAGAGGAACACCTTTGTAAGTACTCCAATTTACCATAAATAGACTACAACTAGACTCCAACAATTTTTGCAGGGGTAGAGATGCTCGCTGTTAGTTCTTAGCTCCCAGCATGTTCGGGTTCGAATGCCGTCAGAGGCAACATGTAATTTTTAATTTTTGTCTTGGTTTTTATTAATTTTGAAAAAGCATTTGAGAAGTGAAGAACAAAAGCGTGTACAAACGAAAAAATATAACAACAATGCCATTGTTAATATGTTGGAGTAGTTTTGTGCTACTCGGATGTAATGCAGGGATGGAGTATATGGTCCTGCCCTAGGACATCGCAATGTTAATTGTACCATATTTTTTAAATGAATTGTGGTTAATTTTGGAGTATTCTTTGGTCCTTAGGGAGTACTCTTTACACGCATGCATGGAGTAGTCGCGATTTTTGCAGGGTACTGAAGATTATTCACTCAAAATTGATATTTACAACAATTTTTAGACGAAAAATAAGAATATTATAAATTTTTGGAAAATGGGCGTAGCCACGCCCACTTATGGTTACATGTGTA